ATATATATATATATATATATATATATATATATATATATATATATGTAAGTTGCAAATTATTATTTTTTAGGGGAGGGGGCATGACCACCCTCAACTCCCAAGTATATTTGCCACTCATTTGCAGTTAATAATATGCACAAAGCCACTTTGGTGACTTTAGAAAGTCTGAAATAGGGCGAGTGTTAATCCCTCTACAGTTTCATGGAATGATTCATTAAAGTATCTAATTTCATATCGAATTTGCACCCCATTGTTCCTTTACATGTAATACAAGTTGCTTTACAACTCGAACCTTTGATTGATAGTTATTTTTCTTTTTGACCGAAATCCCTTGGTGAGCTACATGCTCGAGCAAATAATTATATTTGCATGGACGACAACGATATCAAATTTAAAAATAGGAAAGACACCTCTCCTCATACCTACTTGTCTCAATCCTCAAACAAATCTAGAACAACTAAGTATGAACATTACACAACACATATTGCAAGAGGCTTTCAAACTTGAATTGGTGTGTGCATCACCACCTCTATAATCTTCGGCTCATGTTGATACGACCAAGTACCGCCATTTTCATCAAAATTATGGGCATATCACCAATTAGTGCAACGAGTCAAAGATATAATCAAGGAACTTATCCGATTTGGTTCTTTTACACACTTCATTAGCAATGACTCAGAGTTGTAAAATTTATTTACATTATACCTTATTTGAGGTCACACGAGTATAAAATTTATACCTTACTTAAGGTCACACAAGTATAAAAATTATACCTTACTTAGGGTTACACAAGTTATATGTACCTTACTAAGGTATATGAGCTATCAAAACCTACATCTACCTTACTCAGGGTTACATGAGTTATACATACCTTACTCAAGTATATGAGTTATCAAACATTGCATTTACCTTACTTGGGGTCATACGAGTTATACATACCTTACTCAGGTATATGTTATCAAAACTTGCATCTAACTTACTTGGGGTCACATGAGCCATACATACCTCACTCGAGGTCATACGAGTTATGCATATCTTACTCGGGGTCACACAGGTTATGCATATCTAACTTCGGTATACGAGTTATCAAAACTTGCATCTATCTTACTCGGGGTCACATGAGTTATACATACCTTACTTAGGTATATGAGTTATCAAAACTTGTATCTACCTTACTCGGGGTTACATGAGTTATATATATCTTACTTAAGTATAGGAGTTATCAAAACTTGCATCTACCTTACTCGGGATCATACAAGTTATACATACCTTGCTCAGGTATATGAATTATCAAAACTTACATCTACCTTGCTCAGAGTCACATGAGTTATACATACTTTACGCAGGTATATGAGTCATCAAAACCTGCATCTACCTTACTCAAGGTCACACAAGTCATATATACCTTACTCAGGATCACACGAGTTATGCATACCTTACTCCGGTATATGAGTTATAAAAACATGCATCTATTTTACTTGGGGTCATACGAGTTATACATACCTTACTCAGGTATATCAGTTATCAAAATTAGTATCTACCTTACTCGGGATTACACGATTAATACATACCTTACTCAGCTATATGAGTTATCAAAACTTATATCTACTTTACTCAAGGTCACATGAATTATACGTACTTTACTCGAGATCATACAAGTTGCGCATATCTTAGCCCAATATACGAATGATCAAAACATGCATCTACCTTACTTGGGGTCACAAAAGATATGCATACTTTACTTAGGTATACTAGTTATCAAAACCTGCATCTACCTTACTCCAGACCACATAATATATGCATGTCTTACTCAAGTATATGGGTTATCAAAATTTGCATATTAAAAATGCTAATCGGAGTCACAAGTAAACCATTTGCATAATTTACTAACAATTACACAATATATGAACGAGACGATTTATGACTTCATAATCATAATATATGAACATGCAAAATGATCGACGATGTTTTGATCTTCTCAAGATGATCTTCTTAAACTGAGGGGTCGATGGAAGCCTTATTCAACTTCTCTCTCCTTTGCCTAAAGTTTTTGACCCAATATCTTTGCATGACAATTGAATAGGCTCTACTGAGTAAATCTCACGAATATATTTTGGTATAACTAAATAATGGTTGATAAGATAAACACGTTCAAACTAAACATTATTCATCTACACGATGAAATAATCAAGTTAACCTTAAACTCATTTGACTTTTATTCTTAAAAGTATTCAACCTCAGAACTTGTGGGTTTATATATGTATCCGATCCAAATTTATTAAAATTATTTTATTTAATTAATTAATTAATTATATATTATCTTATTAATTATCTTTTATTTATTATTAATTATCTTATATTTTGTATTCAATATTATATTTTTTATTATTACATAATGTCTCATTTTTTTAAAGGAAAAAAAGGAAGAATAAAAAAATAGGGAGTCAATCTAATATTTTTTAAAGTAAAAATATTTTAAATATTTATATATATATAATTTTAATAAATAAATAAAAATATCATGGTGGCGATGACATCACATGCCACCCCTGTTGAAAAAAAAATGTTTTCTTACTTATTGTGAAATGCAACTAAATGAATGAAGGATCAAACAAACAGAAGAGATGTAATTAATTTTCATCAAGTGAAAACCCTACTTTTTGTAGGGAAAAAGTATTGAAAATAAAATGACAGATAAAAGGAAATATCGTTAACTTAAAGTCATAGCAAAATATTTATTCAAATTTAATACTTGTTTCACATTGAAATTTAACCCAAAAGACATTTATTTTTCATGGAAAAATGTTTCTACTTCGAATCATAAGTGGGGTTCGTATCTTTTTCCCCAACTAATCACATATTATACATCTTCAATTTTTATGCAATGATGTGATATCGTTAGTTCATCATTGGTACCGAAAAATGATAGAATAAATCAGTCGCGTATGATTTGCTATTAGGAACAATAAACAAATTTAAAATGATTTTTCTAAGGACCAGTAGTGAATCCTACATTTATAGTTATTAATAATACTACAATAAATATATATATATATATATATATATATATATATATATATATATATAAATGATTAATTTCACGTCCATGTACTATAGTCGGACTGGAATTTAAGATACACAATTCAAAGGTGTATAATAGGATTCCTTTAAGTCTATAAAATGGGATATTTTACAATCAAGGAATATGTGAGTATTATCCCACTTATTGGAAAACTTATTATTTCAGCAAACATATCAGTCCATTCGTTTTGTTTCGCCACGTATCAAGTTCGCCAAAAAATAAGATTGATTTATCACAGTGAGACCCTAGTTTGTAGTATGTCAACTCCTAATATTTTTTTTAAATACATTTTTAATTATACATATAATTTTTAAATTTTTATTTAGTAATTAATATTTTTATAAAAAAAGTTAAAAAATCATTATATTTATGTATTAAATTAATTAATTATAATAAATAATTTAATTTTAATTCATTAATATTTATAATTTAAATTATAATATTATACTTACCTATTTCAATAATTATATATAAATTTTTTATTTAAATTTTATATAAATACTTTTTAAGGTAGACCACTCTACCGTCTACCATCGATCCACACTTGATCCATCGATTGACAGGTTAAATATAACCTATTTCAAAATAAACTAAAATTACTGACCCATGGAATCTATTAAATCTAATCTAATCCATTTTGTGATGCAGATCTTGTTAAAATTACTGGAAGATAACTTTCCCATGCAAGATTCATAAAATATTAAATAATTAAATATCCACTAATTTATTTGTTGAACTGATTAAAATGAAAAAGGTTAATAATATTTAAGTTTCTTATTTCAAAACTATAACAAACTATATGATATATATATATATATATATATATATATATATATATATATATATATATATATATATATAACATCTTAGTGGTTATAATTTTTTTTGTATCATAACGTAAAAAAATATATAAAATAATAATAATTTTATAAAAATTTTAAAAAATATTCATAGGTTTTCAATAATTTAAAAACTATAATTTAATATTTTTACATTTTATATTAATATTAATATTAATTAATTATTAATATTATAGTTATTTTTATTTTTATTTAAGTTTTTAAATAATTACATTTTAATTCCTTAATAATAAAGTTATTTAATAATAATATAATTATTTAATATTTATAATAATATTTTAAATGTTATCAAAAGTTTAACTAATTCAGATTTCACATTACTGATATAATAGTGTTATATTAATAATTATTATTTAATTTTTTATATTAGTGAATTTAATTTTAAATATAATATAATTATTTAATCTATTTGTAATATAATAATAAATAAATAAATCCCAAAAAAAACTAAAAATACAAAAAAAAAATCACGGTATGAATTGAGGGCGTATTAAGTAAAATTTTGATAGTTCAATTTCCCGTTCTGACATTTTCTTAATATTTTAAAGTTATAATTTTAGAATTTTTACTATTTTATATTAATATTAAATAAATGATAATAATATCACTTTGAAATTTATTTAAAATTTAAATGTTTTAATTTTAAATTTACTAATATAATATAATTATTTATTATTAATAAGTATTTAATGTTATTTATCAATATAATATAATTATTTAGTTTATTGTAATATAAAATAATAGTTAAAATTCTAAAATAAATAGTAAAAATAAAACATGATACGAATTCGTAAATAAAATAAAACTCTAACTCCTACCTAATTATTCTTCTTCCAACCATTTCCAAATGTCAAAAAAGACGGAGATTAAATTAAATTAATCCCTAGTCAAACACGATAATAATTTTGATTTATTTACTTTTTTTTGTTGTGACAGCTTTATTAATTTATTTTTAATAATACTATGTCAATATTTATTAACTATTATAATCAACGAAAACCTCTCACGGCCACACAACGCCCTACTGAGACTGGTGGAGACACAGACATAGACCTTCCATGGCCTCCACAATATCCTTCTCTCTTTTGTTCCTCTCCTTCACTTTCTTTCATTTCCCACTATTTTCATCACAATCAACCCATCCATTCCCCAAAGAAACCCTCCCCAGCAAGTATGGTTACCTTCCAATTATACCCACTTCCACTTCTGCAATTTTCTACGCCTTCTATGAAGCCCAGAACTCAACTTTACCTCTCTCCCAAACCTCACTTCTCATTTGGCTCCAAGGTGGCCCTGGCACCTCCTCCATGTTTGGTAACTTCTACGAGCTTGGACCCTGGCTCGTCACTCAATCTCTCACCCTTGAACCCAACCATGGTGCCTGGAATAGAATTTGTGGCCTTCTTTTTCTCCACAGTCCCATTGGAACTGGCTTCAGTGTGGCCTCAACTCCGGAAGAGATCCCGAAAGATATAAACGGCGTAGCAAAGCATCTTTTTGCTGCCATAACCAGGTTTGTTCAACTTGATCCTGTTTTCAAGCATCGCCCTATTTATATTGCTGGGGAAAGTTATGCTGGCAAGTACATACCTACAATTGGGTACTATATATTGGAGAAAAATGCAAACTTGGAGGCTTCTGAAAGAGTGAATTTGGCTGGTGTGGCTATTGGGAATGGGATGATTGACCCCGAAACTGAATCGGCTACTCATGCTGTGCATGCTTATTATGCTGGATTTATCAACGAGAGACAGAAGAATGAGTTGGAAAAAGCTCAATTGAAGGCAGTTGGGTTGACCCAAATGAAAAATTGGAATGAAGCAGCAGATGCGAGAGGCAAAGTAATGGAAATGTTGCAGAACATGACAGGGTTGGCTACTTTGCTTGACTATACAAGGAAGGCCCAGTAAGAGAATTTGGTTGGACGATTCTTGAACATTGCGGAGGTGAAGAAGGCCTTGGGGGTCAACCAATCGTTTGTGTTTGAGACACGTAGTGAAGTTGTTAAGGCAGCATTACACGCTGAAATGATGAAAAGTGTGAAACATATGGTGGAATACTTGGTGAGGAGGAGCAGGGTGTTGCTATATCAAGGTTACTATGATTTGGTGTTTGGTGTGGTCGAAGCAGAGGTTTGGGTGAAGACAATGAAATGGGAAGGGATTGTGGAGTTTCTGAATGCTGAAAGGAAGATATGGAAGGTGAATGGAGAGCTTGCAGGGTATGTACAAAAATGGAAGTCTCTCACCAATGTTGTGGTTTTGGGAGCTGGACATCTTGTGCCTCCTGACCAGCCTCTTAATTCTCAAGCTATGATAGAAGATTGGGTTTTGGAAAGGGGTTTGTTTCAAAACTTCTATGAGGCGAATGTATCAAGTAAGTCTATATTTGTTGAATAACCACTGAGATTAATCCTGGTTTACATGAGACTCGGTCATTGCACAATTGTTTTCATTTGTTAAGTAATCAATATGTTAAGTAATCAATATAAACTTCGGAAGACAATTAAACTCGTGTCACGGAGTTAGATGGAGAAAATCAAATTAACTGGATGTGAGTTGAAGTTTTTTAGATTTAAAAAAGTCTGTTTCGAATGGAATCGCCCGTTCCAGTTTCCTTATTTTGCATATTTCTTTTTATTTTTTTAATATTTTGTATCATCTTAATAATATTTTATTTTTTTAATTTTTACTAGATTTTATTATATTTTAAATTTTATTATTTTTATTTATTATATATCAAAATTTATGTAAATAAATAATTTTATTTTAAAATGTTGACAAAAATTAATAATAAAAAATTTATTACTTTATACTCATTAAATAAAAATTAATTTATTAATTTTTTATAAATTATATATTTCATATTTATTAATATTCTAGAATAATAACATAAAAATAATTAGTTTATATATATATATATATATATATATATATATATATTTAAAGATAGGAGGATAGTATTATAATAATAATTATTCTTATTTAAAAATTACGATAAGTATGTTAGTTTGGACTATTATTGTTTTGGAATATAATAGCTCGAATTTTACTAAAGATTAAAGTTTATTTACAAATACATTCTAAAATCTAAGTTTGTAAGAAAAGAAAAAAAAATAAAGAAATCTATTAATTAAAATGAAATATAGTCTTATTTATAAGATTCTTACGGAGATATTTTAAATTATAAATTATACTGATTTTAATATTAATTATTAGACATTTAATATAATATTATGTGTAATTATGTATATTTATCGTGTCTTGTTATCGTAATACTTATTAATATAAAAATCATTTCCTATATATATAAATATCATGAATTTAGACATGTATTACCTTCATTTACATTTATAAATGAATAAGTTGATTAAACAAGCCTCATTTGTGAACTTTATAAAACTTTAATAAATTATAAAAAAATATTATTTTTTATTTTATTTATAAGAAATAATCATTTATAATTCCAAGTTAAAATGTCTTATTCACCAAAATATCTTGTACACCAAAGTTTAAAATGTAAAATAATAGAAAAATCTCTGATTGTTGAACAATGAAGGAATTATTATATAAAATATCAATTTTTTTGTCAAAAACCTTATCAATAAGATTCATAGATAAAATGTAGTTGAAAATTAATTTGTATAATGGATTTCTCTTCTAAACCATATCATCATTCAAAGAGATTAAAAGAAATGTCAATATAATTAATAATACTAAATATATATTGAATTACATATAAAATCTATTAAGGATGTAACTTCATTAACTTTATAAATATTTTATATCCATTACTTTTAAATGATATATTTATTTGGTTAAATTTACTCACGTTTTCATTAAAATTTTGATACAATATATTTTAAATTAATCACCACACTATAACTTATTTTGATATACTATTACTTAAAATATCATATTTCCTAAACCTTTCACAGTAGAAAGGAGAGATAATGTGTAAGTTTGTTTTCATTTATTTTAAAAAAAATATCCATCTAATAAAATGAGTCAATTTATATTTTTTATATATTTATCTAATATGTTCATTTTAAGAATAGGTAAAAAAAAAATTCATCTAATAAAGTAAGTCAATTTATGTATTTTATTTGTAATAAATAAAAATATTTTTTTCTAAAATAATTGATTTAAGAAATTTTTTTAGAATCAATAAATTAGTCCAATAAAAAAAAGTGAAACCTGGCTTCAAATTTTCACAGTTAATTAAATAACTTATTTATAAGATGGACTGGAAAAATATTTTCTGCTAGCGAACTGTTTTGAAAATTTGATCAATTTATTGGAAAATCAGATTAGAAATCGTTCGGTTATTTTTAAATAATTAAATTAAAAAAAAGTAAATCTTTTGGTGGAACCTGTAGTAATAAAAAATATTTAAAATTAATTTTTTTATAAAATATAATATATTTAAATTTTTTTATCTTATATTAATTATTTTAACTTTAAATCAAATATAATTATTTTAATAATTATTCATTTTATATTTTTTAATATATTTATATTTATAATTTTTATTATAATTATGATAGTAATTTTTATTATTATTATTTTATAAAAATATTATTATTAATAAATTTATTATGTGTATTATATTTTAAAATATTATTTTATTAAATACAGAATCTTTAAAACTTTAATCTCATATATTCATCCGTTAAGCAACTTGTCTAATTTTAAAATATTGCTTATACAATGAGATAGAAAAAAAAAATGAAAAAACTGCAAGTTGTACCATCTTTCTCATATATTCACCGTTAACCGACTTGTCTAATTTTAAAATATTGGTTATAAAACAAATTGGAAAAACTGCAAGTTCTACCATCTTTCTTCCTGCACCATACAGAGCACACCCAATCCTTCAATCCGTTGACCCAGGGAGTCTCACCTCTTTCTTAAGAAAACCTAGAAATTAAAAACTGAAAATTCATCAACCTCTCTGTCTCCTATTATTTTTCTTCTTATTCTTAGGATTTCCCATTAGTGTCAGAGAAGGAGAAAAAAATAGATAAAAATCCCTCGCATAACATGATTGAAATTTTAAATTATTTACTTGTTTTGTGACATCTTTATTTATTTACTTTTAAGATTTCTGTCTCATCCTTTATTAGCCATTCGGTAGCTTTTATCATCAATAAACACTACCCTGCTGAGACTGAGACTGAGACAGAGACAGAGGCCTCCTTCCATGGCCTCAAATGTATCCTTCTCTCTTTTGTTCCTCTGCTTCTCTTTCGTTCATTTTCCCCTATTTTCATCACAATCAACCCATTCATTCCCCAAAGAAGCCCTCCCCACCAAGTATGGTTACCTTCCAATCACCCCCACTTCCACTTCTGCAATTTTCTACGCCTTCTATGAAGCCCAGAACTCCACTTTACCTCTCTCCCAAACCCCGCTTCTTATTTGGCTCCAAGGTGGCCCTGGTTGCTCTTCCATGATTGGCAATTTCTACGAGCTTGGACCTTGGCGCGTCACCCAATCCCTCACCCTTCAACGCAACCCTGGTTCTTGGAACAGAATATTTGGCCTTCTTTTTCTTGATAGTCCCATTGGATCTGGCTTCAGTGTTTTCTCAACCCCAGAAGAGATTCCAAAAGATCAAAACGCCGTTGCCAAACACCTCTTTGCTGCTATAACCAAGTTTGTTCAACTTGATCCTGTTTTCAAGCATCGCCCTATTTATATTACTGGGGAAAGCTATTCTGGCAAGTACGTACCAGCAATTGGGTACTATATATTGGAGAAAAATGCAAACTTGGAGGCTTCTGAAAGAGTGAATTTAGCTGGTGTGGCTATTGGGGATGGGTTAACAGACCCGGAAAATCAAGTGGCTACTCATGCTGTGAATGCTTATTATACTGGATTGATCAATGAGAGGCAGAAGAATGAGTTGGAAAAAGCTCAGTTGGAAGTAGTTGGGTTGATCCAAATGGGGAATTGGAGTGAAGCAACGGATGCTAGAGGCAAAGTGCTGGAAATGTTGCAGAACATGACAGGGTTGGCTACTTTGTATGACTATACTAGAAATGCTCCGTACGAGGAGGATTTGGTTGAACGATTCTTGAACATTGCGGAGGTGAAGAAGGCCTTGGGGGTCAATGAATCATTTGTGTATGAGACATGTAGTGATGTTGTTGGAGCTGCATTACACGCTGATGTGATGAAAAGTGTGAAACATATGGTGGAATACTTGGTGAGGAGGAGCAGGGTGTTGCTATATCAAGGTGAATATGATTTGATGGATGGTGTGGTCCAAACAGAGGTTTGGGTGAAGACAATGAAATGGGAAGGGATTGTGGAGTTTCTAAATGCAGAAAGGAAGATATGGAAAGTGAATGGTGAGCTTGCCGGGTATGTACAAAATTGGAAGTCTCTGACCAATGTTGTGGTTTTGGGAGCTGGACATCTTTTGCCTACAGACCAGTCTCTAAATTCTCAAGCTATGATAGAAGATTGGGTTTTGAGAAGGGGTTTGTTTCAAAACTTGCCTGAGGCAAATGTATCAAGTAAGTCTATATTTGCTGAGTAACCATTGAGGTTAATCATTGGTTAACATTAAACTCGTCATTGCACACTTGTTCTCACTAGTCATAGAATCTTTTCTTTTTGCTGGTATGTTTCTAATAAATACGAAGTAATAAGTGTTTTATCCAAATAACATAGTCATGAAATTCTTATTTTATTATTTCTTTCGCTTCAATTTTACAACAAAAGCATATATTATAGAAAAGTAATTGATATAATTTTAAATTTTGCAAGCACAGATAAACAGAAAAAGATTAAAAACACAACAGAGAAGAGAAAGTATTGTTAGGCAATCTGCGAGCAAGTTTAATGTTTTGATTTCCCAAAATTTGGTTTAATTATAATTATAACATCTAATTAACTAATCCGTCATTTCATAATTACGAAAATTAGTTAATGTAGTTAATAGCATTAAATTGTCTTGTACCGAATTATTTTGTACAAAAGTATATCAAAGTTGAACCAATGTTAACATAAAAAAGACCAATCGAATATAGTGACATACGTTAATCTTTCAAACCTGACTTAGTACCAATATAGTTTAGTTATTAAGAGTATGTGAGATTTTTTAGGTATGTTATTTTGACTAAGATTAGAAAAAAAAAGAAAAAAAAGAATATAGGGACATACGCTAATCTTTCAAAGCCTGATCTATTACAAATACGGGTCATAAGCGCATCCTACTAGACAAGATATTTTTATGTACATTGTTTTAACTTTTCTAAATGATTTATATATAAAAAATTGTAAATTTATGTTGGATAAAATAATTAAGGTAAATTTATGTATATCATAGCTAATCGATGATAATTTATGTCGAATAAATAAAAAAATAAATGTAAATAAGTTTAAAAAATTATAAAATAGGATAAAATTTACTTAGATATTAACATATTTGATGTAAATTTCGCTTTTTTTCACAATTTTAGTTTTTATTTTGATCGGACTTACCACCAAAACCTACTTATATATTTTTAATATAAATAATCCATATTCAAATAATTTAGTGACAAAATAATCTAGAATATAACAATACAATGTACAACTCTATATAACACTTTATATTTGTTGTATAAAAGGTAAAAGCTAAACTTCTTAAAAACTAATATACTTAAAAGTTAAACTAGTTACAAGAACTAAACTACTTAAAAGCTAAACTATTCCTTAAATAATAAATTTTATGATACAGTACAAATTACAACCTACAAACTAAGTACTAAAAATTTTGAATTAAAAATCTTGTCATTTGTTTTTTAATTTGTGTTATATCATGTTCCGATAATGGAGATGGATTTTGAAAGACTTGAAACATTAATTTAACTTTCGTTAACGTCCAATACGTTGGTTTAAGAATAAATGTTAAAAGTAACTACTTCTATTTAATAATAAAATCATGATAAGATCTTATATTGTGTTAGGTTCGAAGATGAATTTGAAAAGAGTGAAAATAGGTGGATTTGAGGAAAAAGAGAGATAAAAATACGATCGTTGTGATTAGGGAAAAATTGGTGAGAAACAAAAGAAAATGAAAAGAAAGTTTGTGAAAATTTGTGAGTAATGTGATTGTTTTGATTGATTAAAATATATTTTAATTGATAAAATTGTAAGATTACAATTTTACCTTTGTCTTAAAAAAGTAATTTAAAATAAAATATAATTAGTGTAAATTATATTAAAATGAAATATGAGTTATTAATTAAAATATAAAATTTTTAATTAATGAAATTATATTACAATAGAATTCAATTGGTGAAGATTAATTTCAATTAAATTTTGGACGATTACTTTAAATAAAATAAAATTGTACTTTTAATTGATAAATTTATTTTAAGTTAAAATATGGTTGTTTCAAGTAAATTTAAATTAATTTTGTAGTATTTTGTTAAAAAAATGTATTATTTTGATGAAAATAAATAACATATAATTATCTATGCTAGAAATTAATAAAATTAAATCAATTATGGAGTTAAATAATTGTAAAATGAGATCACTGTAAATTGTAATTCAATACAAATTTGCATGATTAGTTAACTAAATTGTTTTTGTGTATGTTAAATAAAATATTAAGAATGAATTTTCATAAAATAAATTACATACTAAATTGTGAAATAATAAAAAGGAAAATTAGAAATAATTAAAAAATTAAAAGAAAAATATTAAAATTTGGTGTAAGAATTCGATAGTCATACATCATATTAAATATTGATGGAGAGTAACAAATAGATGATAAAATTTATGTAAAGGAATTCTGAAAGTCATCGTTCTTCCAAATGATTAATTCTATCAGTGACCTTGTCGAAACCTCTGTTTATAATTAAGTTCAAATTAGATAAAACATCTTTCATCTACTGCATTCTTACTTGCATGTCCTAAATACCTCCCTTGTTGAACATATAAGGACTTGATGTTGAACTTACATGAACATGAAGCTTGATGATTTTGATGATGATTCAAGAACAAAGAACTTAGAGAGTTGAAGACTTGTATTATTGTGTAATAACTCTGTTTTGATGAGTTTGAGTCTGTAATATTAGAGTCTAAGATAGCCGATACATAATCTACTCTTTAGAAGCTTCAAAAACTCATATTTATCAAAAAGGCTCGGGTTTAATCGATTAAAACACCAGATAATCGATTATTACAGTGAGAAAAACCATCACTACTGCAAAAAAGGCTTTTTACATCGGTTAAAATGGGCTTTCTACGTCGGTTAAAGCGGCGACATAGATACGGGGGTCATAGAAAGTAGGGCTTTCTACGTCGGTTCCTAATAACCGACGTAGAAAGTAAGACTTTCTACGTCGGTTCCTAGGAACCGACGTAGAAAGCCCTACTTTCTATGAGCTATTATGATCGGTCAAACTGGTTCTGATCGGTCATAGAGCTATTCTGATCGATCATAGCTGGTTCTGATCGGTCATAGGAAGACTTTCTACGTCGGTTAGTCAGGGAACCGACGTAGAAAGTCTTACTTTGTATGAGCTATTCTGATCGGTCATAACTGGTTCTGATCGGTCATAATACTTTCTATGTCGGTTAACACTGATAACCGACATAGAAAGTCTTACTTGCTTACTTTCTATAACCCCAGTATCTATATCGGTTAACAGTAACCGTGATTGTATGTGTTATCAATGTCGGTTATACCTATAACCGACATAAAATGTTAAACTTTCTACGTCGGTTAATGAAATAACCGACGTAGAAAGTGTTATTTTTTTTTAAAATAGCTGCATTTTCTTTAGAGATGCTACCTTTCTTCGAGTAGACCTGCCTATTCATCACAGTTCCAGACAAATATTCTCAGATCCAGTACAGACAGATATGCACAGTTCATATATAAATTTGCTACGTATATATATCCAAGCATGTACAGAGATCCTGTTGTGCACAAATATGTACATATGAAACACATTGAAATCAATATATGTACAGACAGATCCAGCTTCCAGCAGTTCATTTACTTAAACGAATGTAAATTTCCTAACTTAAATCAATTCAATCTAAATTGTTACAAGTCAAATTTCCTATGAAGATTGAATGCTTAAAAGGAAAGAAGCCCACTGCTCTCTAATATCGTCTAAGACTTCAATCTTCATTGGAGATGAGTCTGTAAATTCCTACATATTGAAACATTTCAGATTTAGAAATCATTTACATAATTGGCATATTTGACTTAATTATAGTATATTTACCTCCCTCCACGTGTCAAGAATATTTTTGGCTATGATGGTGTGCATGTGCTTCATCACATAATACCCGCACTCATGGCTTCCCGGTTGGCGTGGACACTACAAGTTAAATACATGTCGATTAACTTTAAATGACAAATTGAACAACAAGTAAGAGGTGTTTGGTCACCTTTGGTGCAATATACGTCAACTTCTTTCTAGCATGAGATGGAAGGCCTTGCAACCTTAGGTGAGCTTCCAAAGCTCTACAAAAGGACAAATAATTTTGGTATAAGTAGTGCACATATGATACAACAATTAAAAAAACCAAACTTACGCGTCTATGTGCTTTCTAATATCCAAATCATTTGGTTTCTTGTGTAATGAACACAAGAGAATCACAAGAAATTGCCGAGGAACAATGATTATGAGCCGCCAATGACCCCCGCACGTTGAAATAATATTAGTAAAATTTCAGCTTTACATAAATGTGCATTAATTTATAAGATGTATACTTATCGATGCAAGTAAGGTGCTAAGTAGACTTCTTTGCCCCCAGCTTGAAATGCCTCTATTAAGTACGTTTGCACCTCTTCGACTTTATTCCCAACTGACCGAATGGCAACAGTGGTCAACAAATCCATAGAGAAAGCAGATCTTCCTCTCAACACACAAACGATGTAAATACCTTCAACATTGAAAATAAATAAAGTTATAAAATAATGTACCAGTGAGAATATAAAAAATATGTAAATATACTTACATTTCCCAAAGCCGCAACACCGATACACATAACATATCGATACCAGCGAGAAGATCAAAAATATCCCTTTGGAGTAAGAAAAAGGGATCGTCTTGGTCCCGCATACGACTTCGGGTGGCATATCTAACCGTATGGGAGTGGTCCCGATAGTCGCCGCTGCTGCACCGAGTCGCCGTAAAGCGTGATGGTGGTGGTGGTGATTCATGCACAACTTCCTTTGCTTTTTCAACCTCTTTCTATACAAGTACCAAAAATCAATAACATTAATATACATCAACCTATCAAAAAATAATAAGTACTATCGTTCAATGCATAAATCAACCTCGTGCATGTGTTGGGATGGGTCTTGTTAATGAAACCGGCCATAAGATAAAATGGCCAGGTGCCTGTCCCACTCGTTTGAACCTCTTCAGTGGGAATAGGGATTGGGGCAGCAAGATCCCGGACATCTACAACCACCACTCTTATCATATCATCTCCAATACTCGGTGGTGGATGGTTGACCCCAATGCATACATTTTCCCTAAGGTAAACAAAGGATAAAATATTTTAGACTATATAATGCTTAAC